CAAGACTGGGCTTTTAAATCCTCCATTGAAACACCTTCTTCAACAAAGCCACATTTTCTAATCCTTCCCAAACAATTCTACTAACTAGGAACCAAACATTTAAATAGATGAACCTATGGGGGGAGCATTATCATCTAAATCATAATAGGTTAAATCATGTTTACCTACTAACTCTCTTCTATTAAGTTTTCACTATAAATGGCCCACCAGTGAGATGGCTCAGTGGTTAAGGGCACAGGTTACCAGTACCTGGTGACCTGAGGTCAGTCACTGAGAATCACAGGTGTAAGGAGAGAACTGACTTCCAAACATTGTCCTCTGACCTACAAGAAGCACACACACACACACACACACACACACACACACACACACACACACACCATAGCATGTGCCCCCAACCCAAACAAATGCGGTATAAGTTTTAAAAGTTTTCATTATATAGTGTTACATATATAACAATATCTATTATACACTGATATATAAAGAAAAATCAGCACTCTATATCCTTATCTTCTACATCCATTGATTCAAAGAACCATGAATCAGAATTCTTTCAAAAAATGTGATATAAAAAAGATTATTGCTACCGCCAAACAATGTAGATGAACAACTATTTATCTTTATAGTAGATATTAGAAGTCAGAAATGGCTCCAAGTCTATGTGTGTAGATTATATGCAAATATGACACCAACTTATATTAGGGGAATGCTCATCTGGAGATTATGATGACCTTGGAGTTCTGAAACCAATTCCATGTGGGTACCAAGAGTGGCAGGAGAACCCATGTTTTCACATGTGGCTTTAGAATGAGCATTTCCAATACTTCCACAGCCATCTGTGCAGTTCATGCTGTCTTCTAAAGTTACAATTTTTTTGTACTAATCATCTCACTGTTTTGATATACATATACTTCCAAACATTTTACTTCCCAATTCTTGGCTTTTTTATAAGATAAATACTTGGTTCTTTTATATACACTTCCTTTTGCATACTTTTTCTCCCTCATCAATGTTGTTTTTAGAGGACTCCATACTAATCAAGCTGATGAATAGCTGTAACTCATGAAACTATAAATAGATTGTAATCTTACTTTAACAATGTGGCAATGAGGAATCTGATGTGTGCTTCTGGTGCACACACATAGGCAGTTCTTTAATCTAGTCCCAGGAGTGGAATTTTATGCTTGTCTTTAAACATCCTATTTTTCTTAATCTTCATTCTATTTTTAATAATTCTTAATTATTTTTACTGGATATATATTACCTTAACAATTGTATGCATACGCCTATTGATCTATTGTTGAACATCTAGATTTTTCTTCCATTTCAGGGAACTTTGCACACAAGCCTGGAAAATTAAAAAAAAAAATACTTGTGCAGAAGTTTCTGCTTTTTCATGTTCTGGAAAAAAAACTTTTTTTTTTTTTTTTTGGTCAAGACCAATTTACCAAATGAACCAATTATTTACATTCCATGGGAGGATTGTTATTGTTTAAAAAAATATGAAACAATCCCCACATAAGCAGTTGTGAATCCTTTTGAGAGTATATATAATTACAGGTATTTTTCCCTAAGGGGTTAAAAAGCCAATGCAAAAGTCAAACAAACAAAGCACTAGATCTATAACAATTTGAAGGGTTTCTCAAACCCTCTAAAGGCTGTATGTTCATATCACTATTGCTAAGAAATATTATCTTTTTAGTCCATCTGTGTGGCTATAATAAAGTAACCAAGACAGAATACGTTATAAAGAAAATTTTTATTTAGTTCACATCTCAAGAAACTCAAGAGCTTTGTTGGCATGATTGCTCACTTCTAGTGAGGGCCTCACAGTAGCTGGCATTAAAAGGGTGGGAGAACATTCAAGAGTGGCCAGTAGCATAAACAGAGAAAAGATAGGATTCACCTAGCAAACTGCTCTCTTAGGACCTCCCTGTGAGAGTAAGCACACACTCCATGACAAAAGCATCACTGATCAACTCCCACTAAGCCCTCCCACCCAATATTGCTATCATGGGAGCATAAGACAGTACAAGAATTCCTAGGTAGACAAACACTATCTGAACTCTAGTATCCTACCCACTGCATGTAACATTACCATACTTTGCCTGGTAAGTTCAAAAACCAATGCTTCCTGGCACCAAGTGCCATTTATATTAAAGCACCACATAGTAAGACTTCATGAAGTATTAGCAAAGTGCCAGACACCAGAGATAAAAGAGAAGTTCCTGGTTGTAAGGAAAATGCGGCTAGAGAGACAGGATCAGAAAGCCCTTTTCAATAACATGTGCAGCAAGAAATTTTTATATCATTTAACATATTAAGAAATGATAAGCTTTCTTTTCCAAAGGGCTGTGAGGAGTGAACATTATCAGGATGTTATAGGTAGGGGAAACAGTACTGGCAAAGGAAAAAGTCTACAAGCTGTATATGTATAGGAAATTATACGTGTGTTGAAAGTGGTAGAATTTGCATGGTAATGAGTATGGGAAAGATTTGAGGTCCTTATTTGGGACAGAAATTAAATTATCATGATTTCAGCAGTTAATCTGACAGCACAAAGGAAACCAAAAAAATTATCCTCCCAAACATTGCACACACAGCATACAGTTTGCCTTTTTTTTTTTCTGTAACTATGTAAAGTTCTAGTACTCAATTCAGCAAAACAGTTTTTGTTTTCTCTCTCTCTCTCTCTCTCTCTCTCTCTCTCTCTCTCTCTCTCTCTCTCTCTCTGTTTGTGTGTGTGTCAGTTTAAGAATGCATGTACATATACGTATTTGGGAGTGTGTGTGGAGGCCCAGAGGTTAGTATCAGATGTCTCCCTCCAGTTTGGGTATTCTTTGAGACTGGGTCTCTTACTAATCCTGTAATTCACTGATTTGGGAATATCAACTGACCAGAGAGCTATAAGGGATCTGATTCTACAACACTGGTATCACAGACATACACTGGCCCTTTATGTGAATTCTGGGCATCTGAACCCAAGTTCTCATGCATGTACAACAAACACTGATGGAACCATCCCCAGTCCTGGCACAGGAGTTTGAAAATCACTTTTTAATATAAATCAAGTGCATTAGCAAACAATACATTTGACATTGTCCAATGGCTTTCATTTTATACATTTTTAAAAACATGAACTGTAATTTTTTTTTCATAAAATGGCTTTTAAAACTAAAAAATTGACTTAGAGGTAAAACTGATTTTAACGTTGATATAGACTTGTTAATCAGTCTGTTGTTCACATACCTAACATTATCAACTTGCATGAAAATTTTTGTTTTTAATTAAAATTGCTTTTATTGAGTGGGTGGTTGTAGTGAGATATTCACTTTGTCTGTTTCTGTGGCACTGACCATGCCCATTGGGGGGGGGGGGTGAAGCCAGGGCCTGAAGTGACCTGTGGAACTAGGTCTGAGGAGGAGCCTGGGAAAGCTCTCTTGTTGGCGGGACGCTGAGAGGAGAGCATCCAGTGGAACTTGCTGGTGTTCATCTGTCTAGGTTGTAAGTTATTTCTCCCTGAATAAACACCTATTCAGCCTATTTGTTTATCCTGATCCTTATTAAACTACGATAGGTGGTCATGTGTGCTACAGTATGCAGTTGAAGTCAGAAGACAACTCTGGGGAATCAGTTCTCTCTTCCATCTTTACAAGGATTCTGGTGACTGAACTCACATCTTCAGGCTTGTGCAATAAGTGAGTCATCTCACAAGTCCTAGCTTAATTTTGAAGATCTAACTAAACAAGGCCTAGAGTCTAGCCGTATATAAAGCCCAGAGCCTGATGTCCAGCACCACAAGAAAATTCAATAAGACAAAACTAATTACAATGGTTTTATTTACAATTGCCTTCACAGTTTAATTACAGTAGAACATTTGACTTTTTGGAACATGTCTTACTTTCCTGAAGAAAATTAATACAATCAGTTGTGATAATGCAATGGAGATGTCTTTAAAGACTTTCACCAGAAGCATAAAAATACTTTATAGTTTTAATATTTGTTCTAGTGTGCTGAGTTTGTATACATTTTTTCCCTTAAAAATTTAATTTGTTTAGTTCCTTGGCATAATTATTCTGTTCCATTAAAATACCCATTTTATATACATCACACAGATATATAATGTTAAATACTTACAATCTGATTGTAAAGTTAATGACAGTAAACTATGTTTTAAAATTCCAGTCTAACAATTGAAAATATAATTTTTTTTAAAGATAGTCTCATGTAGCCTAGGCTGAACTAGAATTCACTATATAGGCAGGATGACCCTGAACGCCTGATCCTCCTGCCTTCACCTTGAGTGCTGGGATCACAGGTGTGAGCTATCATGAGCAGTTGAGGTAGAATAAGTTGATTCAAGATTATAAAGTTCTCAGTACTAAGAAATGACAAGCTTCTTGCAGCCTCTTTTCAAAACACCCCTTGGATGTTTAATGGGATAATGAGACAGTGTTTCAGTAAACATGGTTTAACTGTCAAAACAGCCTCTTCAAGGGAACCTTGAAATAACATAAGGATGCACTCTTGTTAGGGGTTACCTAATAAACACAGAGTTTGTTCATTTCCAGAGTTCAGAAAGTCTTCCCATGTGTAAGTCAGAAATTCAAAGGGAGTCGAGCTCAATAAAATTGCTAGAAATCCCAGGGAATGGAAAGAGGACAGAAAACAGCATAAACAAAAACAGATTGCTATTGTTTGTTTATTTGAAGTGCTGGGGATGGAACCTGGAGACTTGTGTATAATATGCAAGTGTCCTACAACAAAGCCATAACCCTAGCCGAATAATAAATTTTAATATATGTTTTCATCTCTGGTATGAATTTGCTTTAAGAGAAAGAATTGTCCTATGTGGTATCTTCTCCCCAAGGGGTAGATATACCTTTAATGAACTTAAATAAAAGTTGGTCAGTACATGTCTTCCAATGAAGTGAGGTGACTTACCTGAAGACTTCTAAAATCTATTACTACATAAAAAAGTGAAACAAATCTACAATAGGTACAAATTATATACATTTATTAATAATTTTAAATAACACTCTTGTATAAATTCTTTCATATATTCAAATCATAAACAAATTTAGAAATGCATCATGAAACCTAGTACAGTACATATATGAGACATGTTTTTAAATTTTGGGTTAGGATTTTAGTGACATCAACACAAGTTTAATGTTTTAGAAACATTTCCTAATTGGTTGGGCTGAAATTTAAGAGTATAGAGTGCTTGTGCCTAGCATTAAAAGTTGAGTAGAAGTCACTTAAGTTTGGGCTAGCTTGAATTTGAAGCTCTGGGCTCACTCCAGGGCTGCTGCAGTTTCTGCATATGCATAAGTAATAAAGATCCCCAATGCCTTTGAAAAATTATCATTCAAACCACTGACATTTCAATGATACATAACTTCAGCCATTTGATATTATTTGACTTCTTCAGACTGATAACTATTTTTCTTGCTTCTTCCCATGGTACAGTCTTTGGCTCAGAGTGAAAGAGAAAGATGAATTAACCTTCTATCACCTCCCCCAACTCTGAACATAGACACTAAACCCATTTCAGCTCCTAAGCCATTTGCTGCCAAAAGTAGCAACAGACTAAAGGGTTTTTGTTTTGTTTTTTTGGTGTGTGTGTGTGTGTGTGTGTGTGTGTGTGTGTGTGTGTGCGCATATGTGCTCACATGCATGTGCAAGCATGTGTGGATGAGACTTTTGTTGCCCTAATGATTGCACTGTTTGTTTGTTTTTTTTAACGTATTCTGAATATTTTTCAGAGAGCTTTCTTTGAGAAACATAGAATCTCAACTCCTAGCTACATACTACTTCAAAATATAAAAAGCCAACGACAGTAATTAGAATCAATCCTTATGTTTACAAGCATAAAATAATTTAAAAAGTACAGGATGATCAGTAGTCAAGCTCTGTCTATCATCTTTCAAAACACAACACTTGACAATCAGATAAGCCAAATTAACTGACAGGTCAGTATTGCTTTGATGATTAATGATTCTGGAAATATTGGAATTAGAAAATAGCGATATGATTTGGGACTTAGATAATCTTGTTAAGAGAAACAAAACAAAAACCCTAACCTCCTAGCTCATGTCTGCCCTGTTGTCCTCTCTTAAAATCCAAGTATCATTGGGAAAAATAATGCACTGAGTCCACATGATGTTCAAATAAATAAAAGCTTTACTATCCTTTTGCCTTTTCTATAATTGGAAAGACTGTAAATAAGAGAGCACTGGGAAGTAGTGTGGAGGGCAGTATTAATAGGGAGGTCAAAGGCATGTTTGACATCTACTACAACATCCACCTATCAGAAATGGATAGGGCTTACTAGAGTGAGACAATGAAGATGCAAGCAAGCATCAGTTCATTCATAGCAATGATGACTATTTCTCAGTAAGGTTCATGTAAGTATTATATTTTAAAAAGAATATGTTACTAATATTTAGACAAACATTGCTCAAACACTAGACTTTCCAGAGGATGCCTGGTGCTGGATGGTGATGTCTCCAGAGAAAGGAAACCTTGCATTGTATTTTACAATGATTTTCTACTCTAATTTCAAGATATGATTGCCTTATGGTTGATCTTTAGAGCAAAACTATTTCTACAAGCAGAGTGCTGGGGCCACTAAATAATGTTATTTAAAGCTATACTTTTTCATCATTGTGAAATATTAACATGACCCAGGAGCCATATTTGATAAACATTTTTTGTAGTTTAATTTCTGTGTTATCATTTAAAATCTGTTTCAAGGAATCTCTACTTAGCTGGAATCTTGACTTAGGCTCTTAGACTCCTACAACCATTCCTTATTTCTTTACTGGGTAAACATATGTTTAACAAATGTTTGGTTTTGATCTCCTTACCTTTATTTTTGGCAACAGATTGAGTATCAGGGAAGTAATTACTGTGCACAATGCTTTGGAATTGCGTGATGAAGTCGATATACACCTGTGCAGCACCTGCTAGGGAAAGTACCCCCCCCATTACAAGAATTCATTCATTTTAAGGAACTAATTGGTAGTTTCCCCTTCTCAACATTAATTCTGACTTTAGATCTTTAGATAGAAATCCTCATGTGTTCTTTCCATAAAGTCATTTGTAGCTATGCGGCCCAGAATTGTGCCTTCAAGTCACATAAATCTCTCTTCTCTCTCTCTCTCTCTCTCTCTCTCTCTCTCTCTCTCTCTCTCTCTCTCTCTCTCTCTCTCTCTCTCTTCATTCCAGCTTTCTAGGGCCCATGACTAGTAGACTTATGTTATTATATAGCCAGATGGCTATGCTATAGAGATGAGAATTAAATCCAACCAAAAAATGTTGTATAGCCCTGAATGATTTAGCCTCTCTGTGCCTCAGTTTCTTCATGTATAAAATGGGTACAAGACTACTTCCTTAGGAGGCTATGGTAAGGATCAAATAATACACATGGAAAAAGTGTTTTGCAAATAACAAAGGACAATAAAAATACTGTTCTATTCTGTAATTCTGGGATTAAACCTATAGACTCCTGTTAGCTGAGCAATCAACCTCACATAAATTATATCAGTACAGTGAGGTGTAATGTTTACTTTAATAAAGACAGCCACATATGCAGAACACCCTCAGGTTACCTATGGATCTTCTAGTCTACAGTCATTTCCAAACCCTGAGAAAAAGGTGGGGGTCTCCTACAGAGGATGAACAAACTTCTCTGAGGAAGTTAAGTCTGAGTTTCCTAGGTCTAGTCTTTGTTTTGCTTTTCCCTAACCATGTTGTAGTCTGGGCCACCTTTCTTGACTTGCTTAATCTACAACCTGTTGATGCATAACAGATGAAAGCAGCATTACCTGGCCTCAGGGGAAAATGGCATCAAAATGCAAGGACTAAATGCACACTCAATCAGAGGAACCCTCTGTCCAGACAAGAAGATGGATGACTTTTAGCACTGAAGAAGCCAAACATACCTCATGATTTGTGGGTGACAGATTATGTTCAAATGCCAGAGTCCTTTATTTTGGAGGTTATGGGAGGCACATAAATATTTCATGGGCATAAAAATGAGGGGCCCCAAGTAATGTGATGGCTTTTCTTTTTTAATTTAAAATTTCTATCCTTTGGAAGACTGTCTTTTACATTCAGGAAAGAAGTCTTTTTCTGAGGATGTTTACACTGAACAATGTAAAACACACAGAGTGGCTAATTAGGTGAATGTCTTGAGAATGCAGCCTGTGTCCCAGTTTAATAATTACAGACTTCAAATCTATTGCTTGAATCTATGGTAAGTCAAAAAGCATATGACTATAGGTTTATAGAGGAAATATTAGAAACATTTGACCTCTTATAAATTTCAACAGTATCCAAATAGGGACTAAAAATGGATGATGCTCACCAGAGTCCCAGCTCTAGCAATATTGCCACCTATTTTACAGTATTTTAACCAATTTCCACATCTTCTTTTTACAACACCATTAACTGCTATACAAATAAAGTCTAGATGATAAAATAGGACATGATTATTTTACAAATAGATACAAGTACAATGTTGAGCAGGTATGCTACGTTAACTATGTACACCTTGTTTCTTTAGAAGCAGGAACCTCCTCTGAGGAGGATCATCAACTTTCTGCTCTCTGGGGCTGCACCTGCCCTCACCACAGAGGCTTATCTTGTGCTTTAATCCCATCCTTGTAGGAGACTTGTGGGAGGAAAGCCAAGCTCTTCTACAGACCCTCTTGGGAATTTTCTTCCCTTAGTCTACACAGAACCATGACCGTTTAGTGTGGTATATCCTAGAAACAAGCTTGTCCTCAGTTACATGGTTTAGTACAGTAAAATGAACATGAACATAATCCCTGCCTCTCTTTTAAAAAAATGTTTCCGAAATGGAGATGAAGTCTTCTATTGTTCTCCTTCCACATCAACATCTGTCACAGCTGGTGAGATGAACATTTTCCCAGCAGTCCTTTGAGAGGCTGGGTAAACTTGGGCTACTGTATGGGATTCAGTCTTTCCATACACACATGTATTTGCTACAAAAATATACTTTACTTCACATCCTCAATGATGATGAGTGCTTCAGATCTTCATGGGGAATTAAGAGCAATAGATAGGCTAAGCGCACTACAGTTTGTACCTGAACAGCTCATTTGCACAATGTCTTTCTCAGTAAACTCTACTCAGGCCATGAGTGGCTGGAGGGCAGATGCATTTTAGTGAGCATTGTGTTCTGACAATTCAGCAGGACAGTTCATCTCCTTAAGCTTTGTAATTATGAATGGGTGTCGTCAGGGTCAGCTGTCCATTGGGAGCCACTTCATTGCCATCATCCTCCAACAGTCCTGACACATCTGCATTGGGGATGCTGTCATGGTAGCTGCTGAAACTGATATTGTCTTCTTTTAGCTCGATGGTCCAAAAGGGAGCATTGAGTTTCCGGTTTTGGTACTCTCTGTACATATACACAGCTCCTACGAATCCCATTAGCAGCACTACCACAATGATGATGACTGTCAAAATGATGATGTTAAACTGGGTCCATGATACATCAGCGAGAGCTGAGGTGCTGTTTTCAGAAGAGCTTACTGAAAAGATAGTTTGCAGGGTTGTGGGGGCAAATGTACTATTTATAACAGGGGTGGGCACTGATGTGGTCAAAGAGGCATTGGAAACCAAAATGGTAGAACCTTCAGGAGTTGGAACAATAACTTCTGAAAATAAAAAAAAAGAGAATGAAATGTAAAAGACAAAATTATCTAGTTTTGAGAAACAATAAAAGAAATACACGTGAGAGTGGAAGTTGAGGTGGGATGTTGGCATGATATTCTGCTTAGGGTAATGCAAGTTAAAATAATTTTTAAATAAATATAATGATAATATATGGGGTCTGGAAAGCTCACTTATTACATCTAGGTCTATTCTCCAACATGTATAACACCCATCTGAAACTTTAGGAAGATTCTAACACAGGAGTTTTCTATCTCTCCTTATTCAATGATAGTCACAGACATTTCTATAAAGGCAATAAATGTGTCACCACCAAGTTCTAAATCACATGGTAAAATGACAATTATTTGACTCAAAACATACCCAATAAATCTGATAGCATTTCATGAACATAAAATTCTCAAAGGAAATATACAAATCTATTTTTAAAAAAGGAATTTAAATGCTCAGAATTCATTCAGCCTAAAAATAAAAGAGCTTTCCTTTAATTCCATATGTACAGTTCTCACCTTGTGTGTATTTGAACTATTTTATAATCAAGTCTACATTTTAGGCTTCTACTCAACAGCATAGCTCAATGGAAGGATAAAATCTTTGGACTAGGTTAGGACTGTATTGCTACAGGTAATTCAATCTCTTAGAATTTTAGATTTTTTTTCAGTTAAACATTAGCAATAATGTTTCACAGAGTTCTTGGAAAGACTTCAATGATCATTATAAGTACTCAATAATTGTAAAAATAACTATTATTATTCATCACCACAGTCCACTACATCAATGAATCTAAAAACGGGCAAAGTTTGTATTCCTTCATGACTAACAAAATCCATCAGTCTGTCTTCTTGGTACTCACTGGTCTGGACAAGGTATGCCTCCCACAAGGTGGAATGCAGAGTGACAACATTTCTAGCTAGTGGTGTGGTTCACTTTGATTACTATAGTGCAAACATCAAGAATATGGCAGAAAGATACCACAGGCCACAGACCAACCTTAGTTCAGTAATCAGTGTGCATTAGAATATCAGAAGGAGTAGTTTGTACAAGAGCAGGGTCTAACCTGTCTGTAGTCTAATAATCCCTAAATATTTCCTGAATTCCTAACCTTTCTAAATCCTCACTGAATCCCTCTACAAGAAACATTCTATTGTGTGAATGGCGTTTTCTTTAAAAATCAAAAGGAGCAGGGTAGTGGTAGCGCACACCTTTAATCCTAGCACTCTGGAGGCAGCCTGGTCTACAAGAGTTAGTAGTTCCAGGACAGGCACCAAAACTACAGAGAAACCCTGTCTCGCCAAACCAAAAATAAATAAATAAAATCAAAGGGAATATTAATAATATTTCATATACCACAGACAGATACATGTCAGCTTAAAGTGTGAAGAGGCTAGAATGAACTCTAGTTTCCAAGATAGAACTTCTAAGTAGACCATAGCTGCTTTCCTGAAAAGGCCTTGATGATCATTGATGACACATCAAGAAGCAAAGGAAAAGAAATGACAGGACCTTTCAGTTAGACAACTCGAAGAAGGGAAACATGAGCACACTCTGTCATCAACTTTGTTAGTCTTCATATTTCTAGAGTTGATACTGGAGTATCAGGAGACAATCATGAAGGGAAAGAAACCTCTTAAGGCAAATGCCCATCAAAATTTATTTCTAGAAACTCCTCTGGTGGGACTGGAAGTTTTACAAAGCTAATGGTAGCTCTCTAGAAACATTCAATGCTGGCATAAAATACTAAATATGCAATCTTAGGGAGAGTTTTACCTTGCTTGATGCAGTTTCTCTGGAGGTCTCGAATATAACCTTCTAGGCAGTTCTCACACCAGAACCCAGTGGTGTTATGGAGGCAATTGATGCACTCACCACTCTCGGGCTTGCAAATCTTTGGAGTTGTAGTTGGGTCCACATGGCCATGACATTCACATTGTGTGCAGATACTGTCAGAATTGTAATAGCCATTTTCACATTTATTGCAATTCTGTCCTGTGTAACCATCTTTACACTGGACACATGTAGGCTCCAATTCACCAGATTCTAAAATAGAAAGAACATCAAAATAATTTAGTAAAATCTCAAGCTACATTAAAAAATTGTAAATTATTTTCCCTCTGATAGTTTTTTACAAATCCTCTGTGGTATCTTCTCTCACTCTATGTTAAGAGATATACAGAAGCAATATTCTAGATAGCTTATTAACTTTTAAGCATATTGAAGGAATGACGGGCCTGCCCAAAAAGTGCATTGAAATAGAGGGTAAAAGTAATAGGTTTTTACCAGGTGTCTCAGTAATTGTGATATATTGTCATTTAAGTAGTCTCTCTCTCTCTCTCTCTCTCTCTCTCTCTCTCTCTGTGTGTGTATGTGTATACACACATATGTATGTAGTATGTATTTTTTATGCACTTGGGCAACAATATGCATATGTATGTCAGAAGACACCATCCTTGCTGGAGTCCTTCCCATTCACTACGTGGGTCTAAAGATCAATCTCAGATTGTCAGTTTTGCTGGTCTGTATCTTTATGTACTGAACCACCTGATAGATCCCTATATAATTGTTTTTTAATTTTTAAATTTTATTTCTCTGAGGCATGGAAGACTACATAAAATGTGGTTGAAGCAAAACCTTTCTCTATCTCTTTTCTCCCTAAATATTGATACTCCTACGCTTTTTATTTTGTATGGTACTAGGTATGAATCTGGGGGTCTCTTCCACAGTGTGCAAGCAATCTCTGTGACACTGGGCTACCCCCAGGATCATTACTCTTAGGCTTCTATGCTTGGTTTCTTTCACCTTTCACTCTATCCATTTCTCCATGGATGAGTTCATTCACTTGTACACTTAACAATGTAAAATTTGTATCTCCACTCCATTTTCCTGTCTTAAATTACAAGCTGTATATGATATAAAACTGCCTCTATACCTAGGTCTACACACATTTCAAATTTAACATGGATGACTGTCCTTAACATCTTAGTGAATGGTCCCAACATCCATCCACTTGCCTAGGTCCCAAAGTTAAGAACCAACTCTCAGTTCTCCATCTCTTTCCCACTTCTGAGCAGTTAGCAGTTCATTTCAGTGATACTTTAAAAGATTCCTATATTGGTGTGACTCTACTCCAGTGTTATGCTCCTGGGTAAGGCTGTCATCATTTCATACCTTCAGCACTTTTAGTACTTCCTAATACTCTTTACTGTAGCACACTCCTACAGTCTCTATGGTCTTCACAGTGAATCTGAGTAAATATACTAACACCCTAGAAAAGTTGCTTCAATTCTAATGGGCTGCCAGACTAAGTGAAAACAATAGAATTTTCTACTGAAAATGATCTAAGCACTGCCTACTTTTCCTAGCTCTTCTGTTTCTCTTCACACTTCATCATCTACTTTGTTTCAAGCTTAGGATACTCCAAAAGACTGCCTGTTTTCTTCTCTCTGAAATGCTGTATATACTGTTTTGTCAGCTTACAACATACTCTTGCCTCCTTACCCCTAATCACTTTGCAAATGTAAACTGCAGAAATTAACTCAGGAATCATTTCTCAGAAGCACAAAAGGTTCCTGATTCTCTAGGTTAGAGATACTCTAGGCTCAGGTGCATGGCTGGCCTGAAACTAAGAAGGTGTCAAAGCATAAATACAGCCCTGGATTTTCTCATCCTAAGGGCAGCAGTAGTGTCACGCTCCACTTCCCTGCTCTCTGCCCCAAGCAGGCTTCCCCAAGTGCAGACTTGTCCAATGCACATAGCAAGTGATGAGATCACAGGTCTCTAAGGCTACAGTGTGTAGTTGCTGCTTATCTGACCACCAAAGTATCCCATGCTGGACTTCCTAAATGACCATATAAGGTTCCTTCCCCTGACCCCTGTTGCCCCTGAGTATGCAAACGACATACCCTAGATGTTCTTGCCCCAAACAGTGATAAATCACTGCATGGATCCAACTGGCCATTCCTACTAGGTAACTGGTTCCCAATAACTGAGCTGTCCACTAATGGTCTCCCAGGTTTTCTTACCACTCGAACTCAAAACCACTCAGTAACCACCTTTGGCCGGCCCATACTTGCCCCTGCCCTGTTTCCCTTGGCTGGGTCAGTTTATGCTAAAAAATCCAACCATGGGGGAGCAGAGCGGGAATGGTTGAGCTCAGCAGTCAGTCATAACACATAACATCCAAGTTGTAATAATTGGATTAGTTGTCTATCTTGCCCATCACTTTATAAGCTACTTGTGTTCCATCTTTACCTTCAATCTTTTCCTAGTGTCTGACATAGTATTTGTTCAGTAAATGTTTACTACTTGTATAATTTCATCTTGCATAGTGAATTCATTCCAGAAAGAATAATTTACAACGATCATGAAAGCTGCAGCAAGGCACCTTACCTTAGGTTCTGTATGAAAAGTGAGTTTCATTTGAAAAACAATCCATAATTTGTCATGGTCATTGTACAAGTCAAGGGTTTTGAGTATAAGCCACAGAGTTGTATGAGTGATAAACAAATTTAACAGTATTTATAGTCCAAGTTGGCTGTTTGGTATCAAGTTAGGTCAATAAACTCAGAACCTTGGTTTCCCATATTTTAAGTAAGGGATTTTAAACCAGAAATTCTTAAATTACTTTGCATAAAACAATGACAATTGAATGAATTCATAACTCTTGCAAGTGATATGTAGGAAAAAAATACTCAACAAAAGGTTTATACTTCTTGTTTTCAAGAAGCTTATAATTCACAATGGTATCATATGTTACATTTTTATGGTTAACAACTATAGCACACAAACTCATTTCAAAAATTCCAGATAAAATAGATTGAAGGGCTAAACTTAAGGCTTGTAAGAGTATCTCATCTCTCTAATTTCATACCCTGTGGACCTCATGACATGATATTCACCATCTGCTGCCTGTTTTACTCCTCCTGGCTTTACTTTCCTTCTGCCACACCTAAATTCTCTCATCAGTGATTTTAACATTCCTGTTGTGCCTTTAATCTTCTTTGTTTTCAAGGTCATTGTGTAGACCAGGCTGGCCTTGAACTCATGATCCTTCTCTCTGGTCTTCCTTACTGCTAAGCTGGGATAATGATTTCTTTACCTGAAACATCCTTCCTACATAGACTTTCTGAGATTATTACTAAACCTCCCTCACTAGCCTAGAATGTTCCCCTCTATGTTGGCTAGTTTTATATCAACTTGCCACAAAGTAGAGTTATTTGATAAAATGGAACTTTAATTGAGAAAATGTCCCCACTAGACTGGCCGATAGGCAAGACTGGGATATTGTATTGATTGGTGATTGATGTGGGAGGGCCTAGCTTACTGTGGGTGATGCTATGAGAAAGTTTGAGTAAGACAGGAGGAGCAAGCTGGTAAGCAGTACTCCACTATGGCTTCTGCTTCAGTTCTTGCCTCCTGCTTGAGTTCTTTACTCAGAGATGGACTATTACCTGGAATTTTAAGATGAAATAAACCCTTCCTTTCCAAGTTGCTTTTGGTAATGGTGTTTTATTACAGTAATAGAATTCCTAACTAAGACACCCTATTAGTGTATCCGCTGTATATAGACTAAATCACTACACTGAACTTATTTGTATGTTGTTGTGCATTAGACATAGTGATCTCTTGTTATGGAATATTATTTTAAGATGTGTTGCATTCTTTTATGTGAAGCTGTGTTATTGTCTTCCTAAAACACCTGATTGGTCTAATAAAGAACAAACAGCTGAACAAACAGCAAAGCAGCAGAGGTAAATAGGTAGGGCTAGCTGGTAGAGAGAATAAATAGAAAGAGAAAAGGAGAAGAGGAGAAGACTGAGGCGCAAGAAGAAAGAAGGAGGAGAGGAGAACTCTAGGGGCTAGCCACTCAGCTACACAGCAAGCTATGAAGTAATAAGAAAAGAAAGGTATATAGAAAGGTAAACCACAGAGGCAAAAGGTAGATGGGATAATTTAAGAAAAGCTGGCTAGAAACATGCCAAGCTAAAGACGGGCATTCATAAAAAAAAATAAGCCTCCCTGTGATTATTTGGTAGCTGGATGGCAGGCAAAGAGTAAAGAGTAAGAAAAGCCAGCTATAATCTCTGAAAGCATCAAACTGAATTGACTTAGAACTTTCTACCCCTACAGGTACATGCATGCCTAATTGGACTGCTTTCATTGTAATTCAGTCTCTGGCTGTGATCTACTATCTTTACATGGCTAAATTTCTAAGTGTCCCAGTCCTTATTTTTCAAGGCCCTGTTTAAACATAATCTGTTCCATAAAGACTTTTCAGTACTTTCCAGTAGACAATATAAGTCTCACCAAAGTCTCCTAACTCCAGTTTTACATACCTAACCACTCTTATACCCTGAGTTATGGTTATATCCCTTTCTAATTATTCAATATACATTATTGGCATTACCAGTATACCGGGTATCAAATTCTTAAATATATATACATCATCTCTACCCTTGTGGAGCATACAGTATTTGGAAAGAGATATAAGAACAAAGGATTTCAAGCACATTTCTTTTCACAGAGAAAATCTACATTTTAAATTCTTCATATGAAAGTGAATTCAGGCAGTTACTCAAACAAGTAAAAAGCAACTTCTTAAATAAAATGTTAAAAAATGTCACTCATGGGGCTGGAGAGATGGCTCAGCAGTTAAGAGCAATGACTATTTTTCTAGAGGACCAGGGTTCAATTTCCAAGACCCACATGGCAGCATGGCAGGTCACAACTATCTGTAACCCCAAGATCAGATACCTTCACACAGTTACGGATGCGGGCAAAACACCAGTGCACATAAAATAAGAATAAATTATTTTTTTAAGACGAATCCATCCCACTGCTCTTAACATTTAAAAAAGAAAAGGAAAAAAAGTTATTCATGATGAGCCAATAGCTTATTCAGCCAAGTTCTTCTTTACAAATCCTATAAAGGTCTTAAATATCAAATTGTCACTAGCAGCATGTCAATATGTATGCTCTGGAATTCTGATATTGCTGATGCAAATTTCAATATTAATATACAATTTTCATACTCCTGACTCAAGATGATAGCCTAACATCCTAAATGTTTAATATACACACATATGTACATAGTGGTAAACAATGAAGTATGCTATATAAAAGTATCATCTCTTTTAGGAAAAAATAGGGAAAATAAGTTCAGTCCCAAGGACAATGGCAGAGCCCTTCATGTCCTGTAGGTCCATACTCAAGTTTATTTGCTTTGTATATTTTCCTCTCTATGACACTGAATACTCCTTTAAAACAAAGACCATGTTTTAGTTTTTAGATATTTGTATTCCTTTTCTATCACAATGACAAGCATGTTACTGGGTGCTTAATTACTATTTGTGAAATAAATGAAAGAATTTTTCAGAGGTTCCTATGAAAAGAGGAATGCATCAGTTTCTATTACTAGGTATAGCAACTGACTACTGATTACAGCACTGGCTAACATCTTGACTACAATCTCATGAGAAATTCTAAGCCAACATAAACAACGAAAGAATATTAAACTAAATGCCTCTGAAATGAAACGAACAGCACTTTGTGCTAAAAAAAAAAAAAGGATATCAAGGTGTGTTAGAATTTGTTGACTCCCCATGGAAACCCTCTCTGAGGGTGGGTGGGTGGTGGGTGAGGTTGAAGGAAGGAGGGGGTAAGCAGGAGGAGGGGAGGGAGTGAGAACTAGGATTGGTATGTAAAATGAGAAAATATTTTTAAAAAAGGACATCAAGGAAGTAAAAAAAATTGATTCATGGGATTAGTGAAAATATTTACAAATTACTGTTTTTTTAACTTTTTTATTCAAATATTTTTATAATGCTAGAGAGCAAACCCAGGACCTCCTATTTGCTAGGTAAGAGCTCTCCCATAGAGTTATGCCCTCATTTCTTACAAACCGTGCATCTGATAAGTGATTTGTACCTATAACTCTATCAACATAAAGATTTAAAATACTATAGTTCTAAAATGAACAAAACGATTAATAAAAACCCAGAGTCAGATATTGGGGTTAAAGCTGAAGATCAGAGAAACAAAGTGCCCAGCCACTAGAGAGTTCGCACCTCTACTAATACTCAGACAGAAGGGGCAATCCACTGAACCTCGAACTGCTCCCAATTGCATTGCTCCTCAGAATGCAATGAGTTCCTGTCTCCTCCTGCCTCATATTCCTCTTTAGTGCTAGGATTAAAGGTGTGCCATCCCAAGTGCTGGGATCAAATGTGTGAATTGTTTCTCTTTTAAAATGATTCACTCTTATGTGGTCCAGGGTAGTCTTGAGCTAACAGAGATCCTTATGCCTCGGTCTCCTGAGTGCTGGGATTAGAAGTATGGTTACCATTACTTGTTCTTTATGGCTAACTATTGGCTTTTGTGTGTGTGTGTGTGTGTGTGTGTGTGTGTGTGTCTAACTTGTGGCTAAGCTATTAACGAGGTGTGTGGCTAACTAGTAGCTTAGCTCTGCTCTTTGATCTTCAGGAAACCTTTATTTGTTAGATTATAAAGAAAATATCTGTATACCCAAATAGATATTTGCTCAAAAGAAATACAAAAGTGGTCAATAAACATATAATTAACCACCAGAGACAGGTAAATTAAAACCACAATGCAATACCATTTAATATCCATTGGGATGACTACAGGTATAAATGATCTAAGTGTTGTTGAGGCTGTGGACAATTCAGAACTGTCATATATTTTTCTTAATAGTGATACTGTAGGGGTTAGAGAGACAGCTTTTTCAGTAAATTGCTGATGTGCAAGCATGAGGACCTGAGTTCAGAGCCCTAGAAACCACGTGGAAAACACTGCAATGGTGTTACACATGTATGTTGGAAAGATAGAGACAGGTACATCCCTGGAGCTTGCTAGCTAGCCAACCCAAACCAGTGAGTTTCATGTTTATTGAGAAATCTTACCTGCCCCCCAAGAAGTGGTGCTAGAGAAAAAGCTCAGTGATTAAGAGCAAGTACTACTCTTATAGAGTGCAGTTCCCAGCACCCATAGGATAGCTCACAATGGCCTGTAACCCCACCCCTGGGGACCCCAGGAATTTGGATGACCTCTTTTAGCCTCTGTAGGCAACACACTCACATGTATGTAATACCACACACACACACACACACACACACACACACACACACAATTTTTAAACATCTTAAAAAAATAGGTTGGAGAGCGAGTGGAGAAATGCTGCAATGTGCATCTCTGCCTTCCACACAACATGCTTGTACCCACAAAACTTGTACACATTATACATATAACACCCACCCCAAATGATAACATAAAATGGGGTGTTTAATTTTGGAAAACAATCTGATATTTCTTTACAGAGTTAAAAGAGCTGATATATGGCATACCAATTTCACTCCTGCTTATATATCCCAGAGAAATCAAAACACTTCCACACATATCCACTGGGGGGATGCAGCTCAAAGGTAGAGTGATTATCCAGTAAACACAAATGAATTCCTGGGCTCAATATTTAATAGTAGGAAAAGCATCCAATAACCACTGACTTGAGTATGTACTGGCAACATTACATATACAAAAACATAAACAGAAATGTACATAGCAGCATTACTTATACTAGATAACTGTTGAATGTTTCACCAATTCAAAGAAGAACAAATAAACTGTAGCATATATATATATAATTCAACAAGAAAGGTATGCATTACTGATATATATATATATATATGTGTGTGTGTGTGTGTGTGTGTGTGTGTGTGTGTGTATATATATATATATTACAATATAGGTGAACTTTGAAAATATGTTATATGAAAGAAGCCAGATATATGCATAGTGTTGGCTATTGGGACATCTGAGGTATCATTTCAGATATGTATTAGGATTCTATTGTAAGTTTGTAGAAAGGAAAATTGCTGTGATTTTTATACCTCACTTTCATTTACATCCTACAGAACCTAATTCATCAATGCAGTGTATTTCACTGAAGGAAGTGAAGTCCTAGAAAAAAAGTCCTTACCTATTGTGCAATTGCCTGTAGAAGTTACTGCTGAACAAGGGCAGCGGCGGCATTCTTTAGTAGCATCAGGACTCTGATAAAATCCTTCTTTGCATTCTTCACAGTGATCCCCTTTGCTATTTTCCTGGCAGTTTAAACAAGCACCTAAAAGAATCAAATTATTGTTTCAGAGTTAAGGAACTTACAGAAATCCTGCCTGTAACAAGAAGACCATAAAATTATACAGGAAAAAATAACAGGAGTAGTGCTTGGTTTCTATTTTGTTATTTCAAAAATAGGGAAGAAAAAAAGATTTAGGGAGGGAGACCACCCTCTTTTGACCTCCCTGGACATCAGGCACACATATATACATGCAGGCAAAGCACTCATACACACAAAACAATAAAATAAATACATCTAATTAAAAATTAGTTATTTATGTGTATGTATATATTGCCTACCTATGTTTCTGCACACCATGTATGTGCAAGTGCCCTCAGAGTGCAGAAGAGGGATTTGGTGCTCTTTGAACTGGAGTTACAGGTGTGAGCTTCCCAGTGCAGGTGCTGGGAACCCAACCTGGGACCTCTGCAAGAAACAAGTGATTTTAACTGCTGAGCCATTTTCTAACCCTTCCTGATTTATTTCTGAACTAGCCTTGTATATGAATTTAATGTCTCCAATAAGAAAAAAGCTGGGTATGTGATTATAGTCACATTCTGCCATTATTGGCTAATTAGCTACACACTAAAATCAGACTTTGTACAAAGAAAAAAAAAATAAGATATGCTAATAGAAGAGTAAATAAATTGTGGCACTTTCATAGTTTGGATTTCACAGTCAAATAATGACCTATGTATACAAACAAGCATCTTAAAGATAGAACTGGCTGGAAAGAACAATGCCCAAATTCCCAAATATTGTGTATAAATGTTTGTTTTCATTTACTTGGACTTTGTTATATAAAATAAAAAAAAAAAGAAATAAAATGCAAAGTAAGTAATAAAGAGAAAAAACAAAACATAGAACTGGCTGAAAAGCAAACTGAAGAATGGACATTGATGTTTGAGCATGGAGATCAAGGGAGATGCAAATCTGACAACAATATATATATATATATATATATATATATATATATATATATATATATATTGATGGCATTTAAGCTACATCTGGGGCCTGAGTGAGATCTCTCAGAGGGAAAGTACATGTGTAGAGGACAAATGTGATAATCGCCAAGCTCCAAGGTAATAGTTTACACTGACTAAGGGAGATGGAGCACAGATGGCATAGAAGGAAAAGTAGCCATATAGGAAGAAAGCCAGGAGAATGTGACATTCTGAAGCAAAGCAGTTTCTGAGCAGTCAAGCTAGTCAGTGAGTCAGGCTGCTGTAGTCTCTCTAGCATGGGACACTACCAAGACAAAAAAAGGCCTTGCATTCTTAAAAATGAATCTACTATTTGAAAGAAAAGTTTGCAGTTAAAAAATAATTGACTCTCTGACATTTTCATTTAAGGAAAATGTACTAAATAACAAAAATCTGGAAAACAAGTAAAAAAAAAAAAAAAAGAAAAAAAAAGAAAAGTGCCCTGAACAGTTTTATTAACAGTTGGAACACATTCCTTAAAAGTTTTCCTTATTTATAGAGTACCTATTCAAATAGGTACTATTTCTTGGCTGTTTATTATCATCAAGGTACTGTAGATATACAATTGTATTTAATTTAACAATAACCTACTAGGTGGTTTTGATTTTCTAAGTTCCTAACCATATGTTATCCAGGTAACAGTACTAACTACCTATTGTTACAAATTTGGGTATCTAGGCTTTTTTTTTAATGATCATAATACCATTCTGGTAAGCATTTTCTTTTTTAACTAAAAACCTTTTTTTATGAACTTAGAATTATTTTCTAGGAAGGTTCCTGAAAATAGAATTTCTGGGTCAAATATTTTTAAGACCCCTTTTACACCTATTGTCAAAAATTTCCATGTGATATTTTCACCAAGTTATTTTTACTACAAAAACAGAATTTTGAAAATGTAAATCAATCTAAAACAAATTCCAGAAATAGTGGGAAGAACAACTGTGCAAACATACAATGTGGCCACCAGATGGCAACCATATCACAGCACTGTTGAAAACTCATTTGTGACTAAAGTACCTGAACTGGCTGCTCTAAGTCAGGTGCTCACTCCCTTACATTGGACTCTATCTTATTTTATTTTTCATATGGTAAACCATTTGTTTCTTTTGGAAACAAGAATCATTCAAAGGATTTATTTTACTTTATCTCCAGATGTTCAGGCCAGTGTGAGAGCTGCCTCATTGTTAGAAAGAGAAAGAATCTTGTCCATAGCTTTCTGGTACTGCAAAAGAAAGACCCAGGAACAACTAATTATTCAGCACAATGAAGCATTCTTCTTGTTATCTAATGTTGAATCTCACTCTTCTTTTTCATGTTTTTCTGTTAGTTTGTTCATTATCCATCAAAGATTCAGTGAGTGCTCAGTATGTGCCAATACCTGTGCTAGAGATTGTGTAAACAATGGGGGATGAAGCTGAGGCTGTTCCTGCCCTGAAAGAACTTACCATGTGTGAGTAAGCACAAGAGAGTGATGATCACAAGTAAACATGTAAACATAAATTGTGACAATGTTCTGAAAAGTTGCAAGTGCATGTGACAGTGTATGGCAGAGGATGTTACATTTAGTGAGGGCATCAGGAAATGCTAATGAATGGGTAAAGCCTGCTCTTAAGCTCATTCTGTAAGTTATTAACTTAAAACATCATTACTTTTCAGTTCTAGATTGATTCTTTTTAGTGCATGTGTGTGTGTGTGAATAGGTTTATTTACATGCAAGTATACCTGTATGTGTGCACAAGTGTAAGCCAGAAAACAATCTCAAGAGTAACCCTCAGAATTGCTGTCCACTTCCTTTGAGATGAGAGCCTCTCAATGACCTGGAGCTCACCAATTACAGTAGACTGAAAGGCCAGCAATTACCAGGAATTCTCCTGTCTCTGCTTCCCCAGCACTAGGATTACAGAGGACCCACATTCAGTTCTGAGTACCCACATGGCAATGACTCACAACTGTTTATAATTCTTGTTACAGGGGATCGCCCTCTTCTGACCTCCACAGACAATGCACACATGTGGTGCACAGATATACATGCAGACAAAGCACCCAAACATATAAAACCACACACTACATTTTTGCATGGGTTCTGAGGTTAGAACTCAGGTCCTCATACTTGTAGAGCAAGTACTTTACTAATTGAGTTATCTCCCTAGTCTTCATGATCTCTGCCCCAGCCTATGTGTGTGTGGTGGCGAGTGTGTGAGTGTAGTGCAGTGCTATTCTCTAGTAAAATTTTGTCTCTTTTTACCCGTTTTGTCTGATTTTCTCACTAATTCCTTAATATACTAGTTTTAGTTATTTTAAAGTTTCAGTGTTAACAGTAACAACAGTATTACTCATAGAGCAGACTCCATTGCTTATAGTTTTATTACTTGCCACATTTCTCCATTTTTGTATTGTTATTTATTGTATGTCACACTTGATATATAAAAGAACCAAAGGGGGCTTTCTTGTCCTGTATTAGGCAAATATGAGAAAATGACAGTCTCAATTCAATCAGGCATGGAAGTGGGCTGCACACAGACTGCAATTTTCGTATCTGCCAGTTCACTTCTAGTTCTTCACTATTTCTTGGCATAACCTTTTAGATTAAGAATTTGGCAGATCTTTGTCTCCTCAGCTCTGAAAGACTTGAGAGATTCAGCACTGGCCACTGGGGCTTTACATATTCAGACTCATTCCATGCATCTTTAGAGTTTGGCAAGGGATTTAAAAAGAGTTGGCTGTATGTTTTAACAAGTCCTCTTCTCTCTGAAAGGATTTTGTTTTCTCAGCATAAAAAATTTTCTGGTCAGGCCATCCATTTCCTTTATAGTCAACTTTAGGAAAACTGTTCTTGTGTTTAGAGCTCCTCTACTTTCCAACTATCCTTCAGGCTCCAAATGGTTGTCAAAAGCTCTTCTTCAAGGACAAATCCTTCCCTTGAGTCAACCCTTACTCCCTAACCTGTGTTCAGAACCAGCAAATCTCCCTTGGAAAGTAAGCATGTGGTGTATAGATACAGCCTGATTTAATTTAGATATCATGAACCATAACTTTCATGACTATGCATAAGTAATCCTATGCTCTTTCCTTACGTAGTTTCCTTACACACTGCAGATTTAAAAAAAAAAAAAAGAGTGGTACAATAAATGGAACTTTAATACTAGAACCTGTCTGATATCACCAGAAAAGTGTTTGGAATCTTTGATGTTAACTTAAGATAAACTACCTACATTCTAGGTTTAACGAAAGTCACCATTGTCCTTAACACTAATTTACAACTTGCTGATCCACATTGTGAGGACTGGCCAGTCTTGCTACCACCCTTACCCTTAGTTGTGTAAATAAGCCACCAGTTAACTGCATTCTGTAATCCTGGATCCACTTGACTCTTCCTCAGGTCTTACTGAGCCTCAGTTCTTTCATACAGGATGTCTCAAGTGAGCCTGGCTCACTTGGAGGAATTCTAACATGTTTTTCCCAGTCTTCACTTCATTTTGTGTTGTTCTCTGTACTTCTATAGCTCTTCAATCAATACAGTTTTTGAAATTAATAAAACACTAAGTTGTTGTAATAGTTTGGCTTGCCATATGCCTTATTATATCTATTGAAAAGAACAAGGACTTATAAGCCATTTGAAAACAATATGTAAAGACTTCAAGATTAAAGAAATAAATAATTTCATACACAATTAAGGAAACTACATACCTGTGAGGACATCACAACTATCAGACCGATTGTTGCACTGGCAGGGCAAGCAGCCTGTCTTGTTAAAGCCATAATGTCCATCTTGGCATCGGTCACACATGGAGCCAGTGACACCCTCTTTGCACAGGCAATTCCCAGAACTGCAAATAACGTAAAGGACAATGCATAAAATTAAGTGATTTTGAAAACTGTATTGTCTAATGCTCTGCAGATTATCCTAACACAGACAAGTGTTTCTACTAGATTCTGCTTTCCAGACGCATAAAATGGATTTTTTTAGGGCTTTTGTTTGTTTAATTAGTTTTGTTTCCTGGAACCCTGTCTCACTTTGTAGCCCATTCTGACTATGTAGCTCAAGCTTGCCTCAAGTCATAATCCACTTGCTTCAACCTCCAAAACTGGAGAACTTTATGGATATAATTCAGCTAATACTATTGATAATAACATTTTATGACAATTCCAACCTTTATGCTTGGATAGTTTAAAGTGCATGGCAAAGGATCCATGGAGAATAGGAGTTCCCAGTGTAAAATCTTTTTTTAATGAACACTGGGGCTTAGAACTTGTACCAGTGCTGTATCTCATTTCAAGACTTCCCCACAGCTCTACAGGCATCTGTTCCAATTTGAAGGAAATAAACCAGTCTTTACCTGGCTTCTGACTCATAAATGTAAAGATTAAAATCTTGATAAAAGAGCTGTACATAATGACACATGTTTTTATTCCCAGTACTTGTGAGGCAGAGGCAAGCAGATCTCTATGACCAGTCTGGTCCACAAAGCTAGTTTCAGAACAGTCAGGGCTGTTACAAAGAGAAACCCTTTCTTGAAAAACAGCAATAACAACAGCAACAAAAAGCCTACCAAAAACAAACAAAAAAGATGTTGATAAATGAACTAGTTCACACTCATTGCTAGACTAGTAACTTGATATAATCCTGTATTTTGAGCCTACAATGTATTTAAATCATGGTTCTGGTAAGTTGGAGTTCACAATTAAGTAATCATAATTAGAATGGGGATGTCTGATGCATTTTACGCTAAATTGTTAAGAGTTTTATTTTTATTTATGTGCTTGTGTGTCTGGATATATGCATATGAACATGTTTGTGGGAACCCAAAGAAGCCAGAAGATGACACTGGATGCCCTGGCGCTTAAGTTACAAACAATTGTGAGTTGCCAGACATAGGTACTAGAAACTGAACTCTAGTGTTCTGTAAGAGCAAGTACTCTTAAGCACAAAGCCATCTCTCCAGCTCCTGCATTAAATCCCAAAAATATTCTAGGTTGCTAACTAACCAGACCCTCAAGGTAAATATAAAGAACTTAAAAATTTTACTCAGTATCCCACAATTTCTATTTATTTTCTTTTCTTAGATGATGATTGTAACAATAATAACAGTTCTCCCCAATAATCATTAAAACATAAAACTTCTGGCTATTTCCTTTTAAATTTTTAAAAATTTTTGTTTTTGTTTTGAGACAGGGTCTCTCTATGTAGTCCCAGATTTCCTGGAACTCACAATGCAAGCCAGGCTGGTCATAGAGATCTTCCTACCTCTGCCTCCATAGTACTGGAATTAAAGGCATGTGCTACAACACCCAGATTATTTTTGTTTTGTTTTTAAATTAGGGACTCCTGTTGAATGAATAAAAACAGAAGTCAAAGAGTAATGTGACCCATGAAAAACAGCCTTTCACTATATACAGGAGGACATTCATTGCTGTGATCCACATGAGACAGCCTTCCATGATACACAGGAGGAACAGGACCAACATTGAACAAGAGAGATCAAAGGAAGATGTGCTTGTGGTTGTCATCTACATAAATATCTAGTAGAGAAGGTTCATATCAGTATACATTTTTTTTTCAGTTCTGAGGATTTAAAGCCAAGGCATGATACATGCCAGACAAAATACCATTGAATGACATGCCCAGCCTTCAAATATTTTATAGCAATATACAATGCCATTTTTTAAGTGTCCCATGTCTTATTTAATTCTCTTGGTGGAATTTAGGTTGCTTCTAATGTCTGATTATTACAAGCCTTAGTAACCCTTGTTGGGCCTGTAGTACAACCCATGGCAAGGAGCTGGGGGGGGGCGGTACTTAAAAAAGGCTTTAGTGTCTCCTGGAGAAATTATGACATGGATTTTAGGAAAATCACAGCTAGTTGGGGCAGAACTATACAAAGTAATGTGTTGGAGAGTTGGCTCAGTGGTTAACAGCACTTATTGCCTTATTGCTCTTGCAGAGGACCCAAGTTCAAGTCCCAGCAGCTATACTGTGGCTCACAACCATACATAATTCCAGCCCAAGGGTATCTGATGCTCTATTCTAGGCATGCCTGGGGAAAACTGCTGACTGGTATATCCTACCCATCATCACTGAAGTCATCAAAGATACTGCAACATGTGGCATAAAACACAGCATTTCAGAATGGCTGAATCATGTATAACTTTGACAGCATTTACTACTTTCACAATAATCCCTCTGGATATTTTCACTTCCTTTTTTCTACTCCAAGTTCTTACAATCATTCACTTATGTGTGACTTGTCACACATTTCTATAAAATTTTCCTCAAGTAACTTTTGGCACAGTTATTTCTTCTGTAAACTTTCCTGGAATGGTCTCTGTTCATTTTTAGCTCTAAAATTTTTCCTGCTTTTAAGGTTCCTTTTCCAAAGAAAATTTTCTCTTGTTGGTCCACAGAGGTCTTGTGGCTCCCCATATTTATATTTTAATCTCACCTGTAATTTGTTCTATATTCTTTCAACATGTTAAGTTGTTAAGTTTTTTTTCCTCATTGTATTATAAAACTGCTGAAACAAAGGCTTATCACAGTTTCCTATCATCAAGACCTATCACAAGTACAGAGACTGTGCTCTGTCACATCATGTTAAGTGTGTGTTTCAATTCAAGGATTATATGTAAACAAACTTGGTAACCTCAGAAATGTAAAAACAGAAAATGTCTGGTTTGTTATAGATATTTAATAAATACTTGGTGAATGTTCAATAAATATACATATTAAAATTTGGAATTAGGTATGGGAAGTGTAAAAAATTAAAAACACTAACAGGGTACTTGGGCTGTGTAACTGGACATGTAGGACCCACAGAAAAGTGACTGCTGATACAAGATGGACATTGCTACAGACTGCTCCATGGAAGAGTCTGACAGACAGTCTGCAGGACACAGAGAATAATGACTGACAAACTGTCAATACAGATGGACATTTTAAAGTTTCCTGCTTTGCTGAGGAGTCTACCAGACACCATATGGCCTATGGGCTGAAGATGGAACATTACAGAAGAACTTCAGGTGACTGATCAGGTACCTACGTGTCTCTGTCATTTCTAGAGTTTATATATTATCCTTTTTTTTTTTTTTTTTTTTTTTTTTTTTTTGGTCTTTGAAGGAGTTGAACACAGATAGTTATGGTTAAAGTTTTCTTAGTTAGGATTAAAGATAAGTTACACAGAAGAATTTAGACTCACAAATATAGGATAGATGATGGAATATTTTGTTTAAATCTTGCTAAATGTTAATGAACTAAAAATTGTTAACTGTGGTTCTTATTTGATAACTGTTTTGTTATACAATTTACTATTTTAAAGTTAAAACCATTCTTTTTATTTTAGACAAAAAAGAGGAGATGATGGGAGATATCATTCTGTAAATATGTTTCTCTTATTGGTTAATGAATCAAACACTGTTGGCCAATAGGAAAGCAAGATAGGTGAGACTAGGAGATGAGGAGGGAGGAAGTAGTAGTGAGGATAATCAAGATGGAGGACAGAAAGAGGGCAGAAGACCAGCCCTTTTCTCTGGTAAGATAACACCATGTGGAAGTTCTTAGATTAATAGAAATGGGTTAATAATTAAGACAGAGCTAGCCAATAAGAAACACTAGTAACAGGCCAACAGCTTAATATCTAATACAGCATCTCTGTGTGTTATTTGTGGCTGGCACAGCAGTGGGTCAGGCTGGCAGAGAAACTACTCACTACATAGTAAAGCCCATATCAATGTAAAATATTTGAGGTTTATATATCTTTTATCTTATATTCCCCCTAAATGATGACAAATATCCACAGAGAATCAAATAACAAAAAAATACACATCCCACCTCTTGGGAATATGAATGTTTTATTCTCTAGACTTCCTCTTGTTGTCTGTGGTGAAAGGCATCTTTGGGAGATCCTCCTATTTTTTTTTTTTACAGTAATTGTTCAGGTGTCCTGAGTAAGCTATTTGCATGGAAGATCTGTGATCATGGCTGTTTCTAAACATGACTGTCATTTATGTGTCCCCCCCAAAAAAAAAAACATGGTTCTTGGGGACAAAAACTAAAGTAGTTTCTCTTTGTCCTTTCTTTTCTTCAATTGTAGAGTCAATCCACAAGTCTGGTAAATTATTGGTTAAATGGACTGAAATCACACAACATTCAATAGGGATACTGTTTTTGTTTGATTGTTTCATGTATTTATTTATTTATTTAGAAGATAGGCATTTAGTAGGTTATCGAGTGCAGGCTGGCCTCTAGCTCATTTTCAGCCTTCTGAATGCTATGACTACAAGTGTGAATTACTACACTTGGAGGAAAATGTATTTCTTTACATGTTCATTCTAGATCTCAAAAGTTTACACTTTGTCTGAGCAGATCTTGGCAGCAGACACATTGGATCGGAGACAATTTAACTGAAAGCTATATTTAAAAATAACTTTCTTAGAGATTTAGCTGCTAATAATGATTGCCTAAGGAGTTTTGGTTCAGTTCAGCAGGCCAAGCTAACACTATTAATACTTACAGAGCTCTTATGCATGTCAGTTAATGCAATTCCCTACTACCTCCCCACTTCTATTACTGTAATAAAACTAGAAGTTCTACACTTGAAGATTATTGGAACTCTGGACTAAATTTTGGAGAATAGAAGTAGAGGAGGAGGAAGAGAATATTAGGGATCAGGAGAATTGAATGGGGAGATGAATAGAGGAGAGCAAGAAAAAAAGACATCAATAGAGGGAGCCATTATAGGTTTAAAGAGCAATCTGGCACTAGGGAATTGTACAGAGATCCATAAGAATGAACCCAATAAGGAATCTAAGCAATAGTGGAGAGGGTACCTTAAAT